GGAAAAGCCACCGTCGAAGAAGAAACCGTACTCGGTTTTGAGAAGGGAAACAGTGATGCCCTTGATGAAGTTACTACCATTGATGTGACTATTACCAATGATAGGACGTTTCCTGATGAAGCAGATGAACCCCACATGAAGCAGAAGCCAACGAGACGGAGACCAGTACTGAAGAAGTTACGTCCCGTAAAATTAAGAGAGTTTGTTGAATTTTAAGTTTGTGTTTGTAAATTCTGTACATTTAATTAAGTCATTGTTAATCATCTATTGGTTTAATTTAAGTGGCTATTGTTTGGGACGAACAATACTAAGGAAGGGGCAGTGTTACGACAGCGGAAATCGCGCGACGCTGGAAGCATGCGCTGGAGTTCTAGAAAAATCGAGGAACCTGTCGAACGTCCTAGCATTTGCTAGACATGCGCTCTTATAGTATATAAGCCGGCAAATAAAGTGACGGCAACAGTTGAATTGCAGACAGACAGAGACGGACAACTGAGTCATGCGCGGTAGATACCTTAAGTAAAGTGCGTAAATCGTTGTGAATTATAGCGTGCTTTGAAGTGAAAGTGACTGTGGAAATTACGTTTATTGCAAAGTTGTTTTGAGAAAAATAAACTAGTTTTATTTAAGAAAGGACTTGTATCGCTGAAGTTTCTGGGAAAGAATTTATACAGAAAATTAACAAACGAACAGAGACGTGACAATATCTTACTTTCTGTTACCAACAATCTGCATCATATAAGAAAGGATACTCCTTGCAAAAGATACATCCTAACACATATCACGACTGATTAATTTCAAGCATACTTTGACGCTATGCTACTAATAATACAGTGTGTTGTTATTTATAACATTATTAGCTGTTTATAGCTTTGATAAAAATCACTGTTGAAATATGAATTGTGTTATTAGCAGTCAAGAAGTTTTAAAGTAGGATTATAATTTTCAACCTGAGAAGGGCCTTATCTAACACTTAGGATTCAGGTATAACGTCCCTAATTTTGAAAGCTAACAGCAAGAGATTTGTATGGTTCTCTGAATAGATAACAGGATTGACTACTACTTTTTGAAACATAACCATTTGGCTAAGTTGGGCTTAATTACAAAGGAAAAACGTATTATTTCGGGCCGGTGGATGAGCTTTTAAGAGTGATAACCAAATCTTACTATTCGGTCAGAAAAGAGTATCCCAAAAATGGATGCTTTTGACTAGTTTCTTCCCTTCTTGTTTGTTAGTTCCAAGATTAGGATCGATTATGCATATACATCCTTTGTGTAGCTATGCGCACAAACTATTTTATTTTTATAAAATTTGTATTTATTATTGTTGTATGTTTGATTAAAAATAGCTTATACTATATCGTATACGTAGAATTATTTTTGTGTTTCATTTTTTATTGGTTAATATGATTCACCGACATTGAAGCAGATTTAACACTTTAACTATTTTCATTGAACATACTAAAAATTTATTTGAATGTTCCTAATACATTCATAAGTTTAATATTATTAGAAATAAAGTTATTCCGAAATTCAAAATGTTGTGTTTTGATTAATGGCGTCAGCAGAGGACACTAATGATATAAATGGAGAAAAGTTTAGTTTCGAATAATTTTATCTAAAGTTGAAACAATTTCTAAGTTCTAGTCATTTATGATTTAAGTATTTGAGCTACATATGGGACATTTAATTTTTGGGGGATTTGTGTTTATTTTATTATGGTAAAAGTACCAATCTTTGTAGCTTCTTAGTCCAATATTTTTAGTGGCGTAGCTGCTTATACTTGTAAGTTGTATATAAATTATAATTTTTGTCAAAGGTTTAGTAAAAGAAATAAATGCCTTTGGCTTTAGTTTTAGGAACCGCAACAAATGTAGGCTGTTGTATAAGTGCCTGTAAAATGAATTTGAAATTGAATGGCAGAACTCTAACTCTAAGCAAAAAACTGTCAGTGTCACTTAGTTCTTTGGTATGTTTTCCTAACATTAGATACAGTCATCGCAATAAGTCATTTAATGCGTCCAAATTTTTACTAACAGAGCTGCCAGAGTTAGGTTTATGTCGGAAATTTCATCAGAATCGAAGCTCGGAAAATATTAGTAATACTAAGTTGTTTTACATTCAAAATCCATTCAAATGGCTGAGTACAAGATTGGATGTACTTTTATTACAAGCTCAGTGGGACCCACATTTTTCTTTGAATGATTTTATGAGAGGAGCAAAACAGGTATAAAATGCCCCACTTATTAATTTGTTTGTTTTATCAGTAATTTAATGTCAAAAATATGTATATTTTTGAATAGGTACTAATCTGTAATCATAAAGTTATTGCATGTTTTGGTTTCACTTTTAGAACAAAATCTTAACTTAAGGCTTAAGGACAGTAAGTTGTAATGCAAGAATCAAAATATTTTTCAGTATTTTGTTCCAAAGCCTATTTTCTTTTATGCTGTATTGAATCTTAGCGTATTAGTATTAAATTATTACTTGTTACTTTTTAATTTGCAGTTGAAGACTGTAGTTTAAATGCATTATAATAGTTTCTGCTTGTGGCTTAATTTCCCTGCTGAAACTGAAAGTAATAGTTATAGATCTTTTGATGTATCGGGTACATATTATCAATCTTATTCTTAGTTAATAATGACAGGTTTAACATAACATACATGGGAAACAAGAAGCCATTTAATCTTTCAAGGTTATCCCTGAGAAAAAATGGGAATTTTCATTATTTTCAGGAAATCATCTCTTAAACTTAAAGCCTTGTAAGGCACTAAGCTTACAAGAAACATACAAGGATTCTAGCTTTAAAAAATATTGAATTGAGGAATTTTTCCTCTTCATAGATTTTTTTTTCTTTTGCTTAAACGAGGATCTGCTAAATATTAAGTACTTAATTTTCCAGTTAATTCATTGAAATATATCAAAATGTTAATCAGTTTTTTGACAGTGTTATGATTACATGAAGGAAAAAATGTTAACGAGTTGAATATATATTTTCTCTGAAAAGTGGATTTGTCTGTTTTGATCATTCAGTTTTTAGATGCATCAGAAGTCAGGTTCTTTGTGTTAACAACTCATAAGGTGAGATTTAATATTGTTTGCTTTCCGTGCCAGATCTTTGTCAAATGTTTTGTTTATATCATTTATTAGTTCTAAAATATGTTTTTGTTAGATACATATCACTGTGGATGTATTTTTGCAATCATGTTTTTTTAACATTATATTTGTGGTAGTTAATTTATGTAGATATTCAGTGTGATATAACTGGTGTGATAGTTATTCCTTCTCACTATAGTTGAATCAGTTGGGTTTGTGATGCTCATTCCATACGGGACATTTTATTGTTAACAAATCAAGTTAGACAAAAATGAATGTAGTGACACATCCAGATTAAAGAATTTTGAGAGACCACTAACTACCAGGCACAATTCATTCAACTAGCTACTACCCATTTCCTAATGTACTGTAGCCTGTAGGAATTTTGGAGCTTACAGATTTAATAGTGTTGTTTATTAATCTGTATGCCACATGTGGAGTACCTTGGGGCTCATTCTTAGGAGCTTTGCTCTTTTTGATTTGCATCAATGACATAGATGAAAGAATGGTCAATAAATTACTTAAATTTGCAGATGATATTAAGGTCTTGGTTGGTGCTAGCTGTGAAGAGGGTGTTTCTGATTTACAAAAGGATTTAGATCATTTAGTGAGTTGGGCAAATAAATGGCAAATGGATTTTAATTATAATAAAAGCAAGATAATGCATGTGGGTTATCATAATTTGAACTATAAGTATAATTTGGATGGGAATAACCTTAACAGTGTTATGAAGGAAAAGGATCTTGGTGTAATAGTTGATCAGCCTCTAAAGCCATCCAAACAATGTGCTGTTGCTAGTAGTAGAGCAAATAGGAATTTAGGCTGTAACTACAGAAATATTGAATACAAGTCTAAAGAGGTTATAGTTTCATTGTGTAGGTCACTGGTTAGGCCACATTTGAAATATTGTGTTCAGTTTTGGGCTCCTTATCTTAGGAAAGACATCGAATTGTTGGAAAGGTGTCAGAGAATGGTGTCTGGGATAGAGGGATTGTCATATGAAGAGAGATTGAAATCTCTCAAATTGTTTTCTTTTGAAAAAAGAAGAGTTAGAGGGATCTGATTGAAGTGTTTAATATTGTAAAGAGAATTGATAGTGTTGATGCATCATCTTTTTCATATTTAACAGTGAGAATAGTAGGACTAGGGGACACAAATACAAGTTTGGGCAAGGTAGGAGTCATCTTCAGCTAGGACAGTTTTCTAACAGAGTGGTTGGTATTTGGAATGAGTTGCCTTCAGATGTTATGAAGGCAGTAAATTTAAGTATATGATTAGTATATGAATGATAAGGGCTGGCTTTAAGATTTTTAAAAAAAATAGTTTTAGCTTAGTTTAGAGGATGGTCTGAGATGGACCAATAGGTCCTATGTTGCCCCAAACATTGTTTTATATGCAAGAATTCAAACTGGTTACTCAACACATACTTTGGTTAATAATAATGAGCTTGCTAAGTTTGTGAAGAGTGAAGAGCCTTTTAATATTATGTATATATGTGTACGCATAGGAAAACTATAATTACTTCATGGAATGATTTTTCCAGGCTTTTAATTTGTATTCTTATTGGGAGGATGTATATAAATGAGCCTTTAATTATCAACAGTCAGGAGATCCTTTAGTATATATGTGTATGCATAGGAAAACTATAATTACTTCATGGAATGATTTTTCCAGGCTTTTAATTTGTATTCTTATTGGGAGGATGTATATAAATGAGCCTTTAATTATCAACAGTCAGGAGATCCTTTAGTCTTTTCGTATTCAGAGGCTTGGATATCTTAGGAATATGCCCATACCACCCTTTGAAAGTGTACAAATATCACTGATTATAAACTTATTTAAATATAAAATTGTTTTGCATTCTGTTCCACTTGTTGTCCTCAGATAGTTGAAATGCTTCTTCACTCATACGATGTCTATTTTGTATGGGTCCCATTCTTCTTCTTCATTTTCTGGGAATATAAAGTTTGAATATCATGAACATGTATATCCACAAAGTGTATTAGATACCTTATGTTTTTATTGTGGTAGCCATGGCCATTTAGGTAGAAATGTCATTTATGGAAGATTTAATTTCCAACCTACTCAAAATCTGGAGAAACTACAAAGTGGGAGAGATGTAAAATGGATCTCTCTTCCACAAGAAAGGTAACACCCATTAATTTTGTGGGGGAATTCAGACTGATAGTAACAGCCAGTTATTTCTTTTTTATATGTAAGTTCAAATAAGATGTTATGAAGCAGTTGCAGATACTGGAGCACCACTTCCTGTAATTAGTTCTACTTTAGCTTGTTTTCTCAATTTTTTAGGAATATGGACATTAGTATTAAGTTGGCAGTCCCAATTACTTGTCAAGTCGAAGGCCAAATTTAAGTAAAGTAGGTGCTATTATAGGGAAAAATGTTATGCTATTAAGGACTTGGCTTCAAATAGTTAGTAATGTATTTTTATCTTTGAAAGAAGCTCTGTTGAATATTTTCCAAGATAGAGTAATATTCAAATTCATAGAACCCATAACTGTTAACACTAACTGTAATGAATTGCTTGCAGAACTCTCTTACTGTAACTCTGTGTTGTTTAATGAAGATGATGATTTGGAGTTAAAGCATTTAATTGATTAATTTGGTGGCCATTTTAGGGATAAACCATGATGTAGTGCACATTGTAATGATAAAGGATCAGCTCTTACCATTCATCATACTTCTTACAGTGTTTCCTCAACTTGTTAGCACTGTGTAAAACAGCACATTTAGAAGATACTTGAGGATATTAATTATCATGGAACCTTCTATGTGTAATAACCTCTGGTCCTTTCTGTTCATTTTAGTATCTAAGGATGATAAAAGTGAAACTGTTTTTTGTGTGGATTATCATTAGTTAAAACTGTCAGTAGCAGTTCTTGATAGATATCTAGGTATTGATGATGCTTTGGATTTTTTTTTTATAATGCTAAATATGTATCTACATTATATATAACATGTGGTTATTGGCAGATGCTAATTGATTACAATAGTAGAAAGAAAACAGCATTCTTTATTCAGTGATGGCTTTATCAGTTTAAATTGTTGCCATTTGGTCTTTTGAATAGTCATGCTATGTTTCAGCTCTTCATGGAAATTGTCCTTGCTGGACTGTTATATAATTTTTGATAGTGTAATTGTGGCTTCTCATACTCTTCTGCAACATATGGCAGATCTTTTTTTGTTTTGTCAAGGTTGTCAGAAGTTAGTTTGACAGCCAAGTTATTTAAAAGTAATTTTTCTTCTGAAATTTACCTTTTTGGGATTTGTCATTAGCCCAGTGTGTGTGACAGGTGAGTCAAAAGTACGTAAGTATCCAATTCTAAAGTCTTTGTACAGAGTTTGAGTTCCTTGATTGAACAAGTTATTATAGGAACAGAACAAGAAATACAGAGCTAAAGATAAAATTTTGTATTTTCCTTGTAGCCTTCAATCTGTCATGAATGCTAATTAATGAGTCATCTCAGTGTTTCAGAAACTAAAATGTTAACGGCAAAGTGATTGTATTCAGAAGTGAAAAATTATGATATTAGTTGTGTCAGAAGATGGTATAGTGGTTTTGTGAGCATTACATTGTAGCTGTTTTGATCTTTTCATAACCCTGATCTCTTTGTAATGTCTGATTTTTCACATAATTTGTAATGTATAGCTAACTTGTAAGTACTTATAGCATGATGTGTATAGCCTGTATTGATTGTTCTTGTTGTTTTTTTGATCACTTGGATTAGCTAGTAGTCTTTTTGATCGTGCTCATTAGTGTTATTTAATAGTTCATAATGAAATCTAGAATATTGTGAGACTTTAAAGTTAATATGATTAATATGTTAATGAACTCTGGCTCCAAAACAAACATATTAAAGCCGTGAGCTACATGTTTATTTTTTGTGATATTGCATGAAAAAGTAAACCTTAGAGTGTAGTTTCACTGAAACCTGAGTAGAACCTCAGTTTTTCGTAAAAATGTTATGTAAGTAGTGTCATTCATTTATTGGAATGTAAAGGTTACCCAATTTAATGAAATGGAACCATTATAACTTAATATAATTAAAGGTTATCTGCCAAATATTTGGGCAACTTACCTATTGATTCAAGTCATTCTTGTCTCAGTAGAGTTAGAAACACCCACAACTTTACTGATTTAGTAATTATGCCCCTATTATGATCATGAATGTAAATATGAAAAAGCAGACCCAACCACTGACCTTTGAGGTACTCCACTAGTAACAATGGTCCAAATAACTGGTTTTTCCTCAAACCCTATTGTTGTGATGCTGCTAGCTAATTTTTTGTGTGTGGCACCTTATCAAAAGATTTTTGAAAACCTAAGTTCACTTCTTTCTACTGTTCAGATAACAAGTAACATCCTCACATAAAGTCAAGAGATTAGAGAAGCAAGACTTCCCTTTAGTTGGCTCTCTTTTATGCTATATTTCATTAAGTAACTTTACAAAGCCCCCATCACTACAGAAGTAAAACTAATGGGTCTTTTTGGTGTTAAACGACTGAGGCCAATGAAAAGAGCCAACTAGCAACAATAATTCAGAATTTTTAAGAACACTACTTTGAAAAATGGCTTTTTATATTCATACAACAAAAAATAGGTATATTAACTATGTAATGTTAGTGGAAAATGCCCATCTGTGTACATTTGAAACAATTAAAAATAAGTCTTTAGATATCTTATATTCTGCTCATAAAACTGTCCAGCTGAGCTCTGAAAACTTTGGTATGAAAGGAAGTTTTTCTTCTATACAGATTATAATGACTTTATCCTCTTTTATTTTAGGCTGTTTGTACTGTCTTGACATACGTAGTACATAATGAAAATGAAGAATTGATAGGGCTTATAGAGCCAAAGGTGAGATGTGATTAATATAATTAATTATGCTTTCATTCAGTAGTTACCATTGTTGCAAAAGTTTCAATAAAAACTCTGACATGCTGGTTGTAATATTAAAATTTGGGTCAGTGTTAGATAAGAATATCTGTTTAGTAAAAAGCTATTGTGATAACTAAGAAATATTTTGAGACCAATTTACTGCTACATTGTGTAATTAGAAAAAACATTATTATCCCCACCTCCTTAGACACTACTGCAGTAATTATGTGACTACCCCACTAAAACAATCTGACAAAATTCAATAATTATGTAACACTGAAATACGTAACAAATCCTGTGTGGATAGTCTTGCCCTTGGATTGTCTCACAACAGTATTGTTGTAAAAGAAATAGCTGTTGAAATTAATTATCTTGCAAATACTACTGTTTATATTATAATGTAGCTATCAGAACTTCTTGTTTTTATTAGTGAATAACAGGAGGAAACATTGATTTATGTAAGTGTAGTGATTATACAGAGGTTGAGTATGTTATATTAAAACTATTTTGGAGCCTCACCATATCATTAAATTCATTCCATGTTGCCACATCTGATCATGCTCTGTGTGTTAACTTTGCTTCTTGACATTAGCCCTGCAGCATAGTTTCCAGACCAGGCTTAAAAATATTTGTTTGCAGTAACCCTAAACTGATTTAAAATGTGGGTAGGTAGGTAAGTAAATTTTTATTTTATTTTTCTGAAATACCACTAGTTCAGTGATCACCTAAAACATAATGTGTTAAACCATCAACATCTGTTCTATGAAGAGGATTACAGAAATTTCAATATCTTGCTGGTCAATATCAACTTCAGTTGTTGAAGTTGAATTGACTGTTGCCCACAATTTTATGGTTTGCTTTTTCATTTCATCTCCTTCACCAAGTAAATCTACAAGTACTGTCCTCCACATGGATAGGCTTCCAATTGGAATTAATTTGTTTTTCCGAATTCTCAAATTGTGAGATTATTCAGAATTGTGTTCACCATGTTGCTGATATATGCTCGTCAGTAGTAAATTCTCCCCTGCTAGATTGTCTATTTATTAGTTTAGTGTTAAGGTTCTTGGGGACAAGATAAGCCATGTTGGCCAATCAGCAAAAGAAAAATGAAAATCAAAATTTCTATAAATCTATAGAAAGTAGTAATAAATTTCAAGGCATTTCAAATGTGTAACTGAGTACTTTTAGATTATTTGAGTGTGTTTATTTTTATGAGCATTATATTTATCAAAGCATCTCTCTAACTAATAAGGTTAATTTCAGCAAACTACATGAATTTCTGAGAAAAAATATCCTAACCATGATATGCAATACAAATTTTAAAGTTGGCAAATGCTGTTAGATTGGTCGATATATCGGCAGAAGTTGGTGAAAATGAAAATTTTCCAGGTCATAATGTCAAAAAAAAATCTGTCATCCACAATTTCAGATGGTCGGTTGTGTTACAGCAAACAGAAATATATTTAAGCTTGGCCCCATTGCAAAAAGCTTCATTGTATGAATGTTATGTCTGAAACACACTTTTTCCAAAACATACTTACCTCCGGTGACACTAGCTATTTCTCGATTTCCAGGGTTTCCACTCTTTGTCCTCTCATCATTGAAAACATTTCAGTCTTTTATACCCCACTCAAAGACCCTTGGCAAATTCTAATTTGCACATTTCTCCACCAACTTCAATGTGCCTTCTATTTAGGTACTGTATATAAACACCTCATTCAGATAATCAAATCACTTTTTCTCGATGAAGCATTTGGCATGGGTTTCTGTAAACAGGAGTGTTGTGATTATTCACAATTTATGTTGCGACTTTGAACGTGGTTGGCATTACTACGGTTATATCTTTGTTTATGTTTATAAATTACACTAACAAAATAGAACGTACTGATAGGTATGAATTCCCGAGTTAAAACTTCTACTATGGAGGCCAACCAGACCTTTGCTGTATGGTGTTTGTCAAGGGCTAGGGGAGAGGTCACTCTCAGTTGAAACTGTTCGTGATGTTATCCATTGCGAGATGGAGACATATACAGACTGAGGCTGTCTTTTGTAAATGACCAGGGTCTAGCTAGGGAAGAATTTTTTCAGCTCCTTCTTTTACTAGGTTGGCCTCAACAGAGGATCATCTTTATCACCCCCATTCAGTTGATTACTCAGGTTTGTGAGGTTTTGGGGTCTCTCCTATTGTATTTGACTTTACCACTTCCTTGTTGGCAGAAAGAACTGTAAGTGACTACTTGGTTTTTCTCCTTCTCCTGATATTGCTATTCATGCTGGGAGATTTGCCACACAGTTATGTGTTTGGATAGCTATGCCTTGTCTCCCACATTTCTTGGAACAGCATGCTTTGGTTTATCACCATCAGGAGGAGGTATATTTAGGTTCTCAATGGATGGACCCCCTTTTGGACCTTTGAGGGTCTAGATTGGAACTTGTGATCACTTTAAACAGATCAGTTTTCTCAGATTCGTCTTATTCTCATGACTGTCCTGAGGTATTAACCTTTGATCCAACTTTTGTCAGAAGCCTATCAATGTTCTCCTTTGCAATTTGAGGATGAGTTGGGGATTTTGCTCACTTAGATTGTCTTTTTCAATTCTTTCTCTGGTTTCCTGGCTAGTTTGTTGTTGGAATGTTTTGGGTAGAGATGCTTTGTTAGAAAGTGTTTACCTTCTGTCTTCAGGGAGTTATGGGAAGCTCCTTTTCTTCGTCCCTGTTGTTTGCCGGAGTACCAGAGATGTTAGAATCATGAATTTATTCAGCTTGTTTACATTCTTCTTTATCGTCATTGGCTTCTTGCCTTTGTGGCACTAATTTGGGAGTATCAGCTGATAGTGTTTTCTGACCCCTTTCTTCAGTTCTCAGGTCTATTGGTTCCCATAAGAGTTTGTCCGTATTCTAGAGGTTCTTCGGCTCGGGTGGATCGTCGACAACTGCGTCAGTGACTATCCTGTGGTTGGGGGAGCAGTGGGAGCACAATTACATCACTTTCTGGACATTTGGAGTTCTTTCACCAGGGATTCATGAGCACTCCATGTTCTGGCTTCAGGGTTGGTCATTCAATTTACATCACCTCCACCATTATTTGCACAGCCTGTTGCCTTTTCATCTCCAACAGATCCACTGGGAGTGGAACTTCATTCCTAGGCCGTAAGAGAGTTGTTAGTCAATAGGACAGTAGAGAGGATAGATTCCGTTCTTCCTGAATTTTATTCCCATTTATTTGTTGTACCCAAGAAGACAAGAGATTGTCGTCCAATCATTGATCTGTCTCGACTCAATCAATTTTTAGATCCTCCTCACTTTACAATGGAATATTTTCTCAACCTATGATGGTACTTTGTGCCAGATTTCTTGATGGCCAAGTTCGATGTTACTAATGCTTATCTCCATATTCCCATAACAGAATCTTCCTGGAGGTTTCTCAGATTTGTGCACAAAGGTCAGGTGATGCAGTTCAGGGCTCTACCTTTTGGTCTTGCATCAGCACCTTATGTCTTCTGCAGAGTTGCTTGAGCTTTTTCTCATCATCTGCATTCCTTGGACCTGTGCACACATCATTATATGGAAGGCTGGTTCCTTCTGGCACTATCTCGTCAATTAGCAGAACAACACTCTCAGATTCTTCTTTCAGAAGCCACAAAAGAAGGCTTCCTTATTAGATTGGAGACATCTATTCTGTCACCAATGCAATATCTCGTCCATCTGGGTGTGATTTTCAATACTCACTTAAGTCCTATTAGGCTTCAAGCTATAGAAAGAGCCATCAGGCTTTTAGTTATGTCTTCTCGTACTGTGCGGATGGTTCTCTCTATTTTGGGATGTGACCATCCCTTGAGCTTCTCATTCCTTTGGGACGAGCACATATGAGGTCCTTTCAGTGGTCACTGCATGACCAATGGATCATGCATTCTGATCCTTTGGATCATCCTGTCTCATTACTCAGGAACAACATTATTGATTTTGGATTGGAACAACACTACTATTGGGGTACCCATTACACCACCTCATCCTGAGATCCATCTGTTCACAGATGCATCTCTTTAAGGTCAGGTGTTCCAGGGTATTTGGATAGAAGACAAGTCTACTCTCCATTTCAAGGTCTGTCTCTCTTGAAGGGAAAACTATCATGATACATTATGACAATTCCACAGTGGTTTCTCAGATTTCTCATCAAGGAGGCACACATTTTTCAGACCTTTGTTTTAGCATTTCATGTTCCAGGAGTGATAAATTTAATTGCAAATCACTTGTCTCAACTCAACCGGATTCTTCCGAAGGAATGGATACTACATCATGAGTTTTTTCGGTGAGTTTGCTCTCAGTTCGGGTCTCCAACAATCAATGCTTTTGCGACTCATTGGAATTCTCAACTGCAGTTGTATTGCTATCTAATACCTCATCCTCAAGTGTCGGCAGTAGATGCGTACAGTCAGAGCTAGACAGGTTTACATCCGTATGCCTTTCCCCCGATCTGGCTATTGCCCCGGTTTCTGAATATGGTTTGTTCCACTCCCTGTCAAGTTCTCTTGGTTGCACCATATTGGCCAGCTCAAACATGGTTTCTGCTTTTTCAGTATCTGCAGGAATGTCCACCTCTACCTCTTCAACGTTGGCAGTCTCTATTTAGACAACCTCGATTAGACATTCTCTACCCAGGTGTTCAGAAACTCTGTCTTCATGCTTGGAAGTTATGCGGTCTTTTGCCCAACATAAGGGTTTAACTTCTAAGGTTTCTCTGTATTTAACTAAATCTCTCCATAGGCCATCCATAGCTGTTTATAAATGGAAATGGAGTACTTGTCATCAGTGGTGTATTAAAAGGAATTTAAACCCTCTTCATTCTAAAGTATCTACCATATCCCATTTTATGACTTGGGTATTTGAGAGGGGTTTTGCTTCATCTATGGTGGCTTTATATGAGGCATCCTTATCCACTATTTTTCTAGTATTTCAAATATCGGAAGGTTTTTGAATCCTCAGTACTATCAGGTCTACTCAAATCCTTTCATTTTCTTCGGCCTAAATGACCTTTCCAATTACTGAATTGGAATTTTACAGTTGTTTTACATGCATTGTCTCCTCCTCCCTTTGAGCCCTTAGCTTCCTGTTCTTTGTTTCACCTTTCTCTTAGGTTTTATATTTTTGTTGTTGTTGGCTTGTGGACGTCATCAGTTAGAGTTGGTTGCAATCCATGTGCATCTGACTGTGCTTTACCCTGATAGCTCTTTTCTTCCCAAGATTCTGGCAGCCAGGGAAGGGGAAAGATCCTTCTCATCAATCCATTTGCCAGCCATTTCTCACCTTTATGACCGATCCAATCCTGATCGTTTGTTGTGTCCTGTTAGGGTCCTCAAGTGTTATGTGGCTCGTAATAGCTCATTTTGAGGTAGTAGGAATTAATTTATTCATTCATTGGAATCCTGGGTTTCAATACCTGTGGTGGGCAGAGCACAGATAGCCCATTGTGTAGCTTTGTGCTTACCTTCAAACAAATAAAAATAAAATAAATAAACTTCTGTGGGTTTTCTACTACCCCCTGTAGCTATTTTGACTACATATGTTAGATTTTAACCAGAGGTATTTTCCTCAATCATATACTTTTTTATTTCCAGGGTCCCTTTATTTTTCAGTGGATCCTTCTCTGTGGTGAGTGTTGCTGAGGCAGGTATACTTTTTTCTTTAATTCTGTCCTAGCAACCACTTTCTCTATAATTACTACAGGTTACAACAGGCTCTGTTGAAATGGGGTGTTCCACAAGACCATCTAGGTGCATACCAGATGGTATTACCTTATTGATATGGGCTGTCATGAGTAAAGCTAAATGGGATCCTACACATCCCTGCCATCATCAGGTTGAATAAATTGTGGTCAGTTTGCTTTTAAAAATGTAGTGAACTTGGTTCACCTATTGCACAGTTTCCAGAGCACTGTTCCTCAGGACTTTCCAACATGTATTACCCACCACCCCCAGACTCTATTAGTGGAACTCGTGAGTTCTTTCCACCTCCAATTTCCAGTCAGTTGGGTGGTGGACAGAGGATTTTCCTCTAGAGTGTTTGAGAGTGTTCCTCCACTCTTCGAAAAGAGGGTGAAGTTGGGGGCCCTCCTACTCGGGTCCCTGGATGTTTTTTACCAGATGTCAGTAGGGTTGGCGCCAACATCTTTGGGAGCCTACTCATAATTCTGGTTCAGATATGACACAAAGCTATCCAGTTGGGGTGGTGGTGCATGACCCTTCTCTTTGATCAATGTCGGTTTCGTATATTGTTTATGGAAGGAGGGCCATTATCTCTTCATGGTTCTGAATGCTAGGTGGTCCCATCTTAGGCCCTTGGTTGAGCACAGGTTCCACATCCTCTCCATAATTCAAGGGGCAAGAGGAAAACTCCTTGCCCACTTGATTGGGGAGTGAGGATGAATGTTCATAATTCCAGACCGGATGAGTTCTGTTTCTTTGGTTGAATATGGCATATATGATCTCGTCATTTTGATCCTGGGGTATTGCCTTTTGGACTTCTTCAGATGGAGGAGAAAGTTTGTCCACTTCGGTGTTGCTTACTTTCTCATCATTCCAGTGGTGTGAAATACATCACTCTATGGCTACAGGTTGGGATTCAATCAAAAGTATATATATATATATAACATTGAGATCCAATAGACCTATCCACCAATGTGGGATATAGGTACCACGACCCCTTAATTCCAACCTCGAGTTGTGGAACCTCAGTTATCTGGTTGGGGCTGGCCTATACTGATGATTACTCATATTCTATTCTACTTTGGATACAGGAACTGAGCTCCAGGTGAAGAGTATACCTGTTCTGGATGTAGTGCAGTTCCTCGTACTCTTGTACCATAGTCATCTTGGTACACTCCTGTTCTATACAGATGCTTTCTATATGGTTCATACCTGCACCGGCCCCTCCACCTTCTCAATGTGGGATTCTAGCTATAGTGTCAGTGGAGGTAAGTATTTTTTGGAAGTTAACATTTTCCTAAACTGAAAATTTATTTCCAATAACACTTACCTCCACTGACACTCTCCTGCCCTACCTCTCCACTAAAAGTTGGCTTATGTCTCGAAAAAATGATTACATTATCTGAATGAGGTGTTTATATACAGTACCTAGATAGAGGGTGCATTGAAGTTGGTAGAGAATTTTGCAAATAACAATTTTCCAAGGGCATTCGAGTGGGGTATAAAAGACTGGAGCAAGTGTTTTCAATGCTTAGATGGGCAAAGAGTGGAAACCCTGGAGATTGAGAAATAACTATAATGTCAGCAGAGGTAAGTATTATTGGAAATACATTTTCAGTTCAGGAAAATATTAACTTCTTTGTATTGGATTTCGATAAGTCAGCTAACATACAAGGATGACAGTGCCCATCATCCATTTCAACAGTCCATTTGCACAGAAATCCACAGATGTTGCATTCAGTGACTTGATTTATATTTCTTCATATGGAACAGCATGAATACCCATTTCATTTTACAGCTACTTGAAGTATGTGATGATTGAATGGATATCTCTTGGAAGCAATTTATGTACATTAGACCTGTAACTTTTCTTGATGGAAATCCTTTATGATTGTGTACTGTTGCAACGGGTACATTGATGGTCTGTGCCACTGACCTTTGGGTTTGTGGTTTCTCACTTGTTACAAGATGCTGCACTTTGCTTACCATGGCTAGGGAACAACTTGTTGCAAATCTCCTGGTTGTTCTTAGCTTCCAAGATGATCCATATTCCATTGTTTTCTAACATCAATAAAGAGAAGGGATATCCCCATCTTGGAAATTCTAAGTGTCCAATTTGAACATACCTATATGATCTGAATGTATGAATATTTTGCATGGGAAGGAGCTGTCATATGTTTCCTAAATACAATCAATTTTTGGCAGCATCACTACCTATTTGTTTTACTATATTGACCTTTCAGCCATGCCTGTGCCTGGCTAACAGTACAGGGTGCCACTGTTTGATTTATTTATTCTTAGCAAATAGAAAAGATAAGAGCTTCTTATTTTATATTCTGGCATGTCAATATCTGTAATTTGAGTTTCTAATTCATACGAAACTAGACTTAGTATTTTTACTTCACAAACATCTAATTTGAATCAGTGCTGTATTCAACATTCCATGTGACACACAAAAATTTATGTTTATCTGTTTTTGTAATAATTACTTTTAAATTAACAAATTGAGTAAAGTATAGTACTAAAATTTGAATTATAATCTACAGTTTGATACCAAACTTATTGGCATAAATTCATTAAATAGTAGTTCAATAAAATTTTGAATGCAAGTCAACAAAAGAGATGACATGGCCTTTCACCCATGACCTGTCTCAAAAGGATTAATGTATATTTATGTGGGAAGGTAATGTTTGTTGGTTTATTTTATGAACATGTAATAAAACAGCAATTTGATATGTATGTATTTACATTTAGGATAACTTACTCCTGTAAATCATATGAATTGAGATTCTTTAAAAATACTTATAAATTTGTTATTTATTTTTTCCCTAATTTAGTCAAAATACCTTTTTTTTATAGATAAGTTTTAGTAGAAAATATATTATTAATTAATGAACAGTAATTAAAAATAAAATAAAATCCATGAAATCATAGCCAAAGAAAGGAGATTAGAGAAAGCAAAATATCATAACACTAGTATTTTAATGAATTTGGATCTATATATATCAATCCACACCTACTTTCTGTTAATGATTTACAAACTACAGAGATGTGGAAGTTCAGTTTTGACTGTTGTAATTAAGCATGTAGCAAGATATTTCTTAACTTTTCAATGATTGATATGATGTTATGTTTTTTATATATAAATATTTGATGCATTCATATAGCTGTGTTTTTTTACCTCTTTATTACTGCTCTTTGAAGTTTGAAATTCATCAAAATGTAAGATGATTACTTACTTTGGTGGTTTCAGGCACTGCAAGATTTAATTAATGATATTTCCTTGAAGTTTGAACATAAAAGAGGAGATTCTCTTATTCTTCATCCAGATGATATTAAAGTTTCTGCAGTCCAAAATGTTCGTCTTCAGACCATTGCTGGTAAGTGTCTGTTCTTGCACGTTTTCTAATACTCTTATTTTACGTTTTTTGCTTATTTTTATTTAAAAATATTGAAAACTCTACTGAAGTTGCTTTTATATGTGCTGTTTTTTTTAGAAGACTGGTCTAATATTTCTCTTGAGGGATACTACTTTGAATAAAGTTTCCAACTATTATAATATGTTTTAATATAAAATTGTCACTCATGTCAAATTCAGTCTTGCATCTTATGCAAAAGTATATTATGTCATGTCTTGGTAATGTGTTATCATGGGGTGTAACTGCTTTTGTTAATTAAATAATCCTTGTTTACTTTAATAATACTCTATGTATGTTTGGTATAAAACGTAGTTTTATTGTACATTTTTTCATAACCTTCAATTTTATTTTATACAAGTGGTAGATTTCTAGGGGTTCTGGAAAATGTAGAATGTCCTTGAAAATAATGTAGGCAAGAGTCATATAAAACTAAATTGCCATAAAAATTTTTATAACATCAATAAATAAAACATTTCTACTTTGTTCAACTTATTTTAAATCCTGTCTTTCACAATCCATCATGAACTTGTTAACTCACTAGACTGTTTTGACTATTTTTACAACCGTGAATGATAGTTGTTAACCACCAGAATTGATACATTACAATAATGATTGTTACTGTCATGTAAAGGGCCGACTAAACATCTAATAATGAAATGTCTTGAGTATATAACTAATTTAAAAGCTATAATGCTTCAACATCAAATCTTCATTATTAGTTATTTGTATTTTTGAGAGATCACTGAAATAGTACTAGACAATATAATAATAAAAAAACAGAATGCCACACAGCTGTACCTATGTTACATTTTAATTAATATAATAACTATAGTCTATTCCAAGTCAGTGCTGAGGCCACAAAATTCATCAACTGGTCCAAGTTGCAACAACAAACCCCAGATATTGTAACCTTTGTAAAACAAGTGAGTTACGTATTACATTATAAATTATTTTAGTTCTGAGATATCATTCATTGCTTTGATGTTTAAAACATGAAATGTCACAGGAACAAATGTTAAAGCTTATATGTGCTTTGCCTGTGTTATCTGGCTATACAATGTGCAGTTTCCTTTCAGCTATACATGGGAAGACTTAACTTGTGTAAGATTGATTTTCATCAGACGACATTATGAGAGATGGATATTTTGTCGTTTATGATTTACAGCAAATGAGTAAGGCAATGAAACGTGCTTTAACCCATTTTCAATGGATAGGTCAAAGTGTGCATGTCACAACTTTTTGAGTTACCTTCAAAATTTTATTGTAAGTTTTAAGTTTGTAATTTTATAAGGAAATGTTTTTGAAAATCCTCAATCTCCCCTAGTAGGAGAATTGTGATGTTTCCTGTCTAGGTCTTCCCTCTTCTCTAATTTATTTAACATCTCTTTGAGAAGCACAGAATTTTTATGTAAATTACTTACTATAATATAGATATTACCCAGGCACCCCTTGATGTGGATTCCTGTATGTGGTGAGGGGACCTCCCAGGGAAGGTTCTGTATTTTCAGTTACTTCCTCTGGGATCTAAACATCCACCCATGTGTTTGCCGTGAGTGGTGACCCGTGAAGGGAAGGAGAGGATCTTGGTGGTTAAGTGGTGTCTGGGGCACTGCAACACACCACTTTGGCCTTGAATTCCTGTCAACTGAGTAACATTTTTGGGCATTCTCAATGTGTGTTGTGGACATTGTCTGATGCTGGTGTTTGGGTATAGTGCTCACAAAACCCTGGCATTGCTGCAGTGTCCTTGTTTGACATTGTAGTGCATCCCCTCATAGAACTCCATGGCAGGTGGGGTCAGTGGGCACTGAATCTTTCTCTTTTATTATGGATCACCCAAATCCAAAGAAACAAAGTGTAATAACTCTGCTAATCGGTAAACGAGCATGCTTAGAAGACTCTGAACAGCAGTCACCTGTACCTCGCTTCCTGATCCTGCATTCACTGTCCGATAAATCTTTAGGGCAAATGTCTCCCTTTTTTATTCAGAAGGGATTAGAGGGGCTTGCTGGCTCTCTAAAGTCAGTAAAGAAGCTACATTTTGGGGATATGTTGGTGAACTCTTCCTGAATTCAAAAACCATTGGGGATATACCAATTGAGGCTACTCCCCATGCTTCTTTGAATTCTTCATGAGAAGTTATTGTTGAGAGGGACTTGAAGACCATCTCCGAGTCAGAGATCCTTGCAGGTTTCTCCAGCCAAGGAGTTTCAGCAGTTCAAAGGATCTCCACTCATCAAGATGGAATTATGGTGCGATCTGTTCTGATTTTGACATTTTCATCACCACGTTCACCTGCCGCTGTTAAGGCAGGTTATTTGAACTGTAAGGTACGGCCGTATATTCCTAACCCTCTCCGATGTTTTCATTGCCAGTGGTTCAGTCATTCAAAGACATCTTGTTGTGGTTCTGTGATGTGTGCTTGTTGTGGTGGCAAGGACCACGACAATTACAAGTGCAAATTGGCCCTCACTGTGTTAATTGTAGTGGTTCCTACCTCTCTTACTTTAGATCTTGCCCTAAGTGGATGGAGGAGAAAGAGGTACAGCATTTGAAGACTTAATAACATTTCTTACCCTGAGGCTTGAAAGCTATTGTTCCCTACTCCATCTCGGACATATACCACTGCACTATGCTCCACTGCTACAGTGGGGGTACAGACGGACCTTTCCGTGCCTCCATCTGAGTCTTTTTCACGCCATGTGAGAGGTCTCCTGCCCTCCATGGATAATAGATTTGACCGGTCTACGTCTACTCCAATCTCTGTCTCCACTATTCCTTCTACTGACTGCCTGGGTCAACCTCTTCTGGCACCGGCCTCTGGTGTCTGCTCGGGTCTTTCTTTGGCCCCTAAATGCATGACGATCAATCGATCACGTCCTGATCATTGGATTCTCACTCTGATGACAGAGATCTGCCCACTTGATCAAGGGCAGGATCCATGGAGGTCGATCAACCTTCATCTAGTAAAGAAAAATGGTGTGGTTCTCCACCCTGTTCTTCTTCACCTACATAAAAATGACCACTTTGATACAATGGAACTGTCGAGGTTTTCATTCTAATCTCGATGACATTAAGGCCTTGATTGACTTCTATCATCCCGTGTGTCTCTTCTTACAGGAAAGATTTCTGAAACGTGCCGATACAGTCACCTTTAGGCAGTTTTCTTTGTACCGGAATGACAGGTTGTGTGATGGACAGGTGCACGGAAGGGCGGTACTGCTGGTCGATCTGCATGTGCCCTCCTTATCTCTGTCCCTCGATACATCCTTGGCGGCCGTAGCCATCCGTGTTTCCTTGGGTCGTATCATCACTGTTTGTTCTCTCTACCTGTCTTCTGGGGAGTCTTATGATCAATTGGATCTTGATGCTCTTGTTGACCAGTTTCCATCTCCCTTTTTATATCTGGGAGACTTTAATGGACACAACCCCCTCTGGGGTGGTGCTGATATTGATCAGAGGGGTCGTTCCATAGAGCGTATGCTCTCAGATCACAACCTTTCTCTCTTCAATACTGGAACATATACTTATTTTCATGCACCTACTCAGTCTCTTGATTTGCTCCCCTTCACTTTTCACTCGACATTGACCTACGGGGCATTGATCGTTTTCCTATCATTATGAGGGTGGTTGGCCATGGTCGATGCCACCCGACCAGAGTGCCATGGTGGAAGTTGGACCAGGCTGACTGGCCATCTTTCACCTCTCTCTCTGAACTTGATCCTGCCTTTGTCTGTCTGCCATCAATAGATGACTGTGTGGTTGCAGTGACTGACCATATTGTCCAGGCAGCTGCTCATTTTATTCCTAAGACCTCAACACGTTTTCCATGGTATCCTCGTTCATGGTGGAATCCTGCCTGCCAGAAGGCACGGAAGGCTCAAAAACAGGCCTGGGATACCTTCTGACGGTATCCCTCTCTTTTTAACCGCATTATTTATCAGCAGGCCCATGCCCATGCTCGGTAGGTTCAATGTAAAAGCTAAAAGGAGTCTTAGATTAAGCTCACAACTAGCATCTCTTCTACCACCAGTTCCAAAACTGTATGGGATAAGATTCAGAAAGTCACTGGGAGGTATGATTCCCATCCCCCTTTCCATCTTGCTCTCCAATGGTGAGGAAGTTGCTGATGTCCAGAGCATTGCTGATGCTCTGGGCCACAGCTTTTTTCGTGCTTCTAGCACTTCTGGTTCTTCCCTTTCCTTCTTGGCCATCAAGTCTTGGGCAGAGCTATCACCTCTTTCCTTTCAGGCAGTCTGATCGTCTCTATGACTATAATCTCCCCCTTTACACTGGTGGAACTTGAATTTGCTCTTCATTGGTCTGGTAGTACATCGGTCGGACCTGATGATGTTCATTATGAGATGCTGCACCATCTCTCTCCTGCCTCTCTTGCTATTCTTCTCGTTATTTTTAACCAGATCTGGCAGGAGCATGTTTTTCCTGATGCTTGGTGCTAGGCTATTGTCCTCCCTTTCTCTAAACCTGGGAAGGATCCCAAGATTCCTTCTAATTATCATCCTATTGCTTTGACTAGTTGTCTTTGTAAGGCTTTAGAGAGGATGGTTAATGCTCGTCTTGTTTGGTTCCTCGAATCGACACATACTCCTCTCGCCCACCCAGTGTGGGTTCCGTTGACAGTGCTCCACAGTGGACCATCTGATTCGACTTGAAACATCGATCAGGAAAGCCTTCCTGAAGAGAGAATACCTTGTTTCTGTGTTCTTTGATCTCGAGAAGGCTTATAACACCACGTGGAGGTATGGCATTTTGCAGGACTTCCACTCCTATGGTTGCGTGGCTATTTACCCATTTTTATTCAGAACTTTTTACTGAACAAGCGATTCCAAGTCTGTGTGGGTTCAAATCTTTCTCGTTCCTTTCTACAGGAACTTCGAGTCCCTCTGGGCTGTGTCTTGAGTGTCATACTTTTTAATGTTAAAATTAATGCTGTCACTACT